TTTTTGTTCTGAAAACTTTGCTTTGGATCTAAATATCTAGGTCCAGTGTTCTGGAATTGAAAAACTTGGAGAAAATTTGGGATGCTGCAATGTGTGTTACTTTCTGGTATTTTTTGAGCTGTCATTGGATATCCTAGATACCTGAATATCTATGGATTCCTGCTTGCCTATGGGGACACCAAACAAGATGGCTTAGCAGGAAGTAAATACTTAGGGAATGGGCTGTTTGACATGATGATATTGTGGGAACTAAGTGAAGCTAATTTGATATTGTCTCTCATTTTAAAAAGACATCTGGGGGTACCAGGGTGACTCTGTCAGTTAAGCGTCTGCCTTGGGCTCGAGCCCCCTCAGGGCTCCCTGCTCAGTGGGGAGTCTGCTTCTCCCTCTACTTGTCCCACTGCTTGTGCGCTTTCTCTCTCTCTGTCAAATAAATTTTAAAAAATCTTAAAAAAAATAAGTAAAAAAGACATCTGTGTTGTTTATGTCTGCATTGATCTGCTAGCAGGAAAAAAATATTGAACTGTAATTAGGTTGGGAAAACACCTAATGACTAAGGGAGTCTGTGAGATTAACTAGTTTTGGCAAAAAGCTCTAAATAAAAGTTAGAAGGCTGAATTCCAAATGTTTTTTAAATTAAAATATGATTTCATTAAAAAATCATCATATTCTCAGATCAACACATTGGTGGGATTTCTCTTTTCCTTTTTAAAAAGCTATGCAAACTGGGCTCCTGGGTTGCTCAGTCGGTTGAGTGTCTGCCTTCGGCTCAGGTCATGATCCCAGGGTCCTGGGATCGAGTCTCATCCCCGCTCTGCGGGGAGCCTGATTCTCCCTCTGCCTGCTGCTCCCCCTGCTTTTATTCTCTCTGTCAAATAAATAAATAAAATCTTAAAAATAAAAAGCTATGCAAACAAAAACAGTTCCCCTCTTTTTTTCTGTTATTCACAAGTAGTCCATGGTTTGTAGACTCCTGCCCTCTAGTAATGCTCGATCACTCACTCTCTGGAACAATGAGAAGGGTATAGAGAAAGAAATTAGCCTGACACTTGGGAATGACAGAAAACCAAACCAAAAAACCTCTAGTACAGGTCCTCAGACACACAAATGCTCTGTGTCTATCCCTTTCTAGCCTGACTCATGTTGGAATGAAGTTTCTTTTGTATAATGAGCTCAGGAGAAGCTTTTGAAATACACGCTGGGATTTATGGAAATGAGAGAATTAAGAATATGAGGTGCAGAGAGCACAAGGAACTGTCAGTGACTCTGGTAAGAACACAGCAGCATAAGAAAGAAGAAATGGGATACGGGCTGATTTTTTTTTCTGGGATTGAAACACACACCATCGATGCCAGATATTGTAGAAGAGACAGATGGTATGGCAGATGCTGTGAAAGAAAAATGACTTCCTACTAGGTGAACCAGAAAAAATAAACAAGAAGGACAGAGGGAAAAGTACAAGAGTTCCCCTCTGTTGTCAGGAACATCGTTCCATGCTGTAGAATGTAATTGCACCTCATAGGCTTGCAGATTGCAAATTAAGTGTCTTAACCACGTTCTCCACTGATGGCACATTTGTAATTTACAGCCATTCTTTTGAGAGGGCCCACTTTTTGTCTACTGGTTTTCTAAAGCAGGGAAGACAACAACTAACTGGACATATGATGCCTATATATTATGAAGAAGATGCCACTGCTCATCTTTTTCTGGCTCAGTTGGTTGCTATAGGATATGGAGAAACTGAATGAAACTCATCTTGGTTTATTTTAGAAACATTCCCAATTAACATCCTTTCAAGGTGCAAATCAAATGAATGGGGTTGGCATTTTAATAAACTTAAATCAAAGTTGTTTAAAACGTGTCTCAGAAAGCTGTGCTGGGCTCTCTCATTAGGTCCCTGGGGTTTAAAACAGGTGTCTCACCAAAATTATAGCTTAGCATGTGCCGTGGCTCCACGGAGTTGATAGGAATGGTTGAAACCAATAAAAATGATTTTCAAAGGCTAAGGGTCTAATATGAGATACCCAGACACATACACACAGTACAGTGCCAACATATGTAGATTTAATATATGAAACTTCATCACTATGCACTTGGCAGCCACAGTTACATCACTTATATTAGACAGGAATGGATGCAGTCGAGCCTAAAGTTGCCAATGTGAGTTGCTGAAATAAAGAAAAGGATGTGAATGATATTAAGGGTTTTCTGGCCATTACAAAAATAGAAAAAGGGGGCTTGCGGGGCTGGGCAAGTATCCAGTGATGGTTTTGCCACTATATTTGCAGAGGAAATTGAAAATTAATTAAAGACTATAGAGTAACATTGACTAACAAAGAACTACTATAGGCTTTTGAAGGGTAATTCTGATTATATATAATATTTACTTTCTGTGCTGTTTTTAGAAACACTAATAGCCCTCTGAGGTAGACCCCATTGTACATGTACAACCTTCACTCTCACACAACTTATGACTTAGAAACTCATGGCAGAAATGAATCTTAATAACAACGTGGAATCCAGAAATAGCTTAGACACCATATTCTTCCATTTTTAAGGGAGCAAATGCACCGAAGTCCTCCTGGCAATCCCTGTCTAGTTCTCATTTTCTTTTTATTTCCTATTTCTTCTTCTCTCTATTGCCCAGATCAGCGCTGCCCTCTGCTACAGTAAAGTAGAAGACACTAAATGCAGACAGTAAGTTTCCAGAGACTAGTATCACAGCGGCATCTCCACTGGGCCCACCTTGGAACAAATGAGTATACTAAGATTGAGGATACACATTTTCTGAAAGCCAGGGAGAAATTACAGGGAAGCAATTTCAATCTGGAACAAGTCCTACCCGAGGAATTTCTTTGGTGTGTCCCTGCTAAATCCTCCTAGAGGAATAAGTCTTAGAGCCTGATGGGCCAGCTAGGAGTGAATCCCTTTGGTGGAGGGTGGGGAGAGCCGACTACATTCCAGCATTGAAGTGGTGGATGGTCGCAGAGCTACAAAATGCCATGTTCCTTGATCTTATCATCAAGTGCAACTTTCTATTGTTTGGCCTCCTTCATTAGACTTCTGAACTTGGACAGTGACTCTTGACAAAAGAGCTTGATAAAATTTTCTGCTCTGTGGAATTTTATTTGAGAAACTCAGGGAAAATTAACATGTTCTCCAATTCTAGCAAAGGCTGGACAATGCTGCAGTTACAAATTCTATTGGGCAGCAATCTGGTGTTTTGAATGTTGTTGCTGTTGGTCTGTTTAGTACTCTGAAGCTCCCTTCTACTAAACTTCAACACATACTCAAAGTTCACACAACAGACACCATTATCTTACCAATATCACATAGCTTAGATCCTAACTGAGAATTCCCTCCTTCTATAGGTATATAATACAAATTATAATGTTTTCTGTTTGAGAGATTCCTGCATTATAGCTCTAAAATTAGACATAGGGGCAGGATGCACAAAATGGGCCAAAAAAAAAAAAAAAAGACCCAGGAAAATCCCAAATGTTTTTCTATCCTGTACATGGTGTAATTGCAAAGGATTCTTTTCCAAAGAGGAAAATAGTGGCACTAGGCACTTGGAAGCTATTTCAGTCCTTCACAGTCCTCACCAAATGGCATTTTATTTGATACTTTTTTTTATCAGATAGTTTTAGCGTTCTCTTTCAATGTGTCATTGAGGAGAGTGTGACATCATGTTATCCTTGCAATAAGCACTTCTTACACTAATAAGATGTTTATGACTGCTTTATGAAATACCTATTCTTTGCCTTGATAAAAAATATGCATTTTTATGTCATTTCCATGGATAATTCTTATTATGAATTTCCAACACTGATATTGCTCTATGAGAAACTCCTGATTTACTTGGAATCAAGAAAGCTGAAAGCTCTAAGAGAAAATAAGATATATAAAAATATATTTTTAACATTTCTCTGTAGTTAAGAGATAAATGGCAAGGAAAATAATTTCCATAATATTTTGTCAGAAATGCAACCTACAGAAAAATTCATATATACTTTCCTATGTACAATCATTTGTAACTTCTATAACTTCTATAACCCTATAGCAAGAATAAACCTTTATAGAACCTGATTTATTATAAGACCCCAGACCACCTTTTGAATCATCAAGGACAAATTTATCTTCAGTATAATTTTGAATAGTGAATAGAATTTGCCCTATTCTAATTCTTTGAAAATGTGTAACTGTATGTCATATTATAAGCCTCAAATGACAGAACATTCTTTTTTCCTTTTATCCCGCACGTATCTTTGTTCTTATTCACCTCAGGTAAGTCTAATCCATAAGACTGGAAATCTCAATTAAGTAGAACATGCTAATATGTCTCCCCCAAACTATCTTCTTTCTCAATCATCTTAGGTAGACTCCACAAATAAATGTAAATTGAAGAAAACTTAGTTTTAGGAACATTCTCAAAGTTTCCACAGGAAGATGTCTAGTGTCTTCAAACAGTTGTAACAGAAAGGGACTAAAATGTTGCAGCTCCTTGAAAATCAAAACCCAAATTGCAATGAAGAGTCTCATTTTGAAGTAGACACTCCTATAAACCTCTGCTCATGGTACCACTTAGCACCTGTTAGCATGGATTGGAAGCTAATCAGACCTAGTCATTACAAAAGAGGAAGATCATCAAGGGACTTACTCCAAAATAATGATGGCTGGGTTATAAACTCCCCTTCCAATTAATTTTATTGTTTCAGTTGATGCAGAAGTGAAATTAACCTGGAAAAAGGGAGCACTCTAACCAGCAGGAGCCACAGTCCCGATGCCTGTGGGCGCTTCAAAAAGGAATGAAGACACAGGATTGCAGAGCTCTGGCCTTGAGGGTAAATGCTGAGACTGAAAGACATTGACTGGAAAGGTGTTCATTTTCCCCATTCAACAAATCAGTCTGAATGTATTTCATTCCCTACCGGTAGTGAAATGAGTCATCCAGTTAGAATCAATAACTCTAGAGTCTTTCATCAAATTTCTTCACTCACCTTCCATGGGGGTGTTGCTGTCTGGTCGGTTTGCAAAGACTACGTCCACATACTCAAGCTGCAGCCTCTGGAGGGAGCCCTTCAGCCCTGGGAACGGAGGCAGGAAAAACCCAAAAAGTACAAATGTAAGCACTATTAGAAGTAGTTAAAGTTGGGGGCGCCTGGGTGGCTCAGTCGGTTAGGCATCTGGTCGTGATCTCAGGGTCCTGGGATAGAGCCCTGCATCGGGCTCCCTGCTTTGCAGGCAGCCTGCTTCTCCCTCTCCCACTCCCCCTGCTTGTGTTCCCTCTCTCACTGTGTCTCTCTCTGTCAAATAAATAAATAAATAAATCTTTAAAAAAAAAAAAAAAAAGAAAGAAAGTTTAAAAGACTCTTAACCCTAGGAAACAAACTGAGGGTTGCTGGAGGGGTGGTGGATGGGGGGATGGGGTAACTGGGTGAGGGGCATTAAGGAGGGCACGTGATGTGATGAGCACTGGGTGTTCTACACAACTGAAGAATCACTGAACTCTACCTCTGAAACTAATAATACACCGTATGTTAATTAATTGAATTTAAATAAAATAAAATAAAATAGAAATAGTTAAAATTTGGTTTCCTTCAAACATTTACTTTAAAAAAAGGACTGTATTAGTTTCAGAAAGACATTGACTACAACAATATATTAATTGGCCCCTAGAACCTTTAAAAAATATATCAAAGGCTGTCTTTGTCCTCAACAAAGAGAAGTCTTATAGGGTGGCACAGTTCGGTTAAGCATCTGACTCATGGTTTCAGCTCAGGTCATGATCTCAAGGGTTGCGAGATTAAGCCTTGCCTCAGGCTCTACACTCCGGGTGGAGTCTGCTTAAGACTCTCTCTCTCTCTCCCTCTGCCCCTACCCCCCTGCTCTTTTTTTCTTTCTCTCTCTAAAATAAATAAATAAATCTTTCAAAAAAGCCTTATAACTTTCTCAATAATTTTAGTACTCCTACCCCACCAGAAAAAACATACCCAGGAATGATCTTTCATGGTGACTCATTTGTGGCAGTATCCAGGGGCAAAGTTTAGAATAAAAAGTAGCCTAAGAGTTTAACTTCTTTCTTCTTGAAAAAATGCAAATCACTGTCATGTTATGAATAACTTAACAGGCTTACAGTGGGATGGGATATATTCATTGCACATCGAAAACATTAAAATGGTGTAAGTCAGAAATAAATGACTGCCAAGCCCATCCTAATGTACACATGTGCTGTAACAGGAATAAAAGGATTGGCAAATGATTTACTGATTGAAACGAAGTTTGAAGACCCTTAAATATAGCTGAGCTCGACCATTTCTATTATTCCCTGATCTTTGGGGGAAGAAACGAAAACACTAGAAGCTATAAAGACTTAGGTAAATATAAAGGAGAGAATGAGAACTTAAAAAAAAATCTGGAACCAATAATCTAAGTTTTAGCCCTAGCCATTTGGTCACATTCCTAGGAGTACTCAGAAAAAATGATTTAACTTCAGCAAAATTAATACTTCCCTGAAATAGAATGTATTGTATATAATATTATGCAACCAAAAGGATGACAGTTCAAGAACAATTTTATCTCATTTCCATGAGGCACAGCATTTCCTTATCAGCCTATTTAATTCCTCAGGAAGACCGGTGGTTTTTCTCTTTTTATTATAGGCATAAAATTAATTGCATGTTAAATGAGGCTCTTATAAATTTAAATTTGGCTCATTTAAATTTGATTTTTCAAACTGGTTTACCAGCCAGCCACAATTACTTTTCTGACAGGAAAATGAAGTGCTTGGATATAGTTCCGGAAATATTTTTCATTCATTGAGGAAGGATTGTCTGTGATGGTAGCTTGTTAAAAGAAGCACTGATGAAGAGATTAAGGCAGACGGGTGTTACAAGGTCCAATGCCTGCTCTCGAAAAACTGCAGTGACTTTCAGGCCTGGGGTATCACCAGCTCTCTCAAGGGGCAGCTTGAAATTAAATTTACCTTAAAAAGCACTATGATATGAGCCACTTTTTGGAAGCAAGTATATGTATTGGAGGAAGTAAGGGGAGGACAGAATAACCCAATGAACAAATAACAGGGTATCACAGGTTGGAAAGGTTGGAAATCTGTCCTCTAGCATGCCCTGTGTTTCCACTTGGGTTATTTGAAAACCGCCTCCCTCCCTTTTTTTTTGGTGACTCAGGTCTCTGATCTGCAGTGGATATAACAGTACCTACTACCTTCAGGATCACTGCTCCGGGAGAGCAAATAAAACCAGCTGTCAAGCACTTTGTAAGCACAGTAATCTACAGAAATGTGGTGATTATCACAGTGGTGCTCACATCTGGAAAGGTTCAGAATGAGAGGTGCCAAAGACTCAATGCTAAAGATTTTCACTGGACCTCCTGGTTTTGGAGGGAGGCATTTAGTGACAGTTCTGGCCCTTCCTGGCACTGGAAGCAAGTGTCCCCCTTTCTGATAATGGCCCTATCCCTCGGTGTCTCTTCTAAACAGCTCAGCATGGGCAGAGAGTAACTACGAGAAAAAACTGCCGCTGGCTCGGCCCGTTTGTAGTGCTGTGTGGTCAGCCAGGATTTGAGTCATTCACTCTCCCATGTCCTAAGCATGGGCTAAATCCCATTATGATCCCCCAAATGTGCTGGGCTCCTGGGGTATAGAGATGCATGGACACTGTATTTATCCCCAAGGAGCAAACAGTGCAGTGAGAGCATCTTGGCACAGGTTCACCGTTCAAGGTAGTAATGTGTACCCATAAATAATGGCAGGCACTCCATATGAAGGTCAGTCTCATTGTAAGTGATCATTCCGCACCTCTCGATTCTTTCTCAGGAAGGCATTTTTTCCCTCGATATTTAGGCTGAGATTCAGGTGTATTCATGCGAGAATATAAGAAATCATGTGTTACATCACATCAGTGATCCACCTGAATCCCCACGCTGACTCTGAAATGAAGTAGAAGGAGATTGTTCCTCTAAGAGACCCTGTCCCCAACTTTGAAAATCTCAATCACATCAAGCCTTGAAATCCACGGTGGAAATTCTGGGTTTTACTCTCTGTGAGATGGAAAATCATTGGGTGGGGGGGAGGGGGAGGGCTGGGAGATGAGGAGTTAATCACAGGAAATGACTTTATTGGATTTACATTTTGAGCTGGTCACGGGTCTGCTGAGGATGACCTGGAGGAGGCAGGAGTGAAAGCAGGAAGGGAGGCCAGTGAGAGGTCAGGACAGCAGGGCAAGTGGGCCAAGTCCGGACGAAGTGTTCAAATTCGGAACGAGTTGCATAAATAGAAATAAGGGGACTGGCAGGTGTGCTGGATACAGAGTGTGGAGGTCAAGGAATCAAGGATGACTCTCGGATTTTTGGCCTGAAAAGTGAAGGGACTCTTAGTAAGACAGGGAAGTCAGGAGGAAAGCAGACTGGTGGGAGCCACAGAAGTCTGAGCCGCACGTTAGTCAAGCACACGGAGCTCTTAGCTGGTGGATGTAGCAGCCTGGCATTCAGAGGCGAGGTCTATGTGCAGGTGGTTTGGGATCCAGGATACTGATTTGGGCTGGCCTGAATGACCTTGCTGACATTGCCTCAGCCTCTTTGGGCCCTGGTTTCCTCATCTATCCAAAGACAAACTAGAGTTAAACGATCTTTCTGCTTTAATCTTTCATGTGACTACAAACCAAATCAGGCACTTTCCCATTTGGATGCTTTAATCTTATAGAAATAGTTAAATTGTAGCAACATAAAAGACATGCTCAACAAAGCCATTCAGGGTTTATCTCCAATAAACAAATAGTCACGTGGTAGCTCCACTTAGCAAATGTTTGTTGAGCATTGGCTTGGAGCCAGGTACTGTTTTAAGTTTAAGTAGACATGCAAAAAGGCATTAACCTTGGCTGCAGAGGGGCATCCGGGCTGCTAATCATAACCTAAGGTAGGTAAGTGCGCCAGGGAAGTGAATGCACTTGCTGAAGGCACTTTGGACTTTAGCCTGTCCCTCGGCACTAACCCAGTGTCTGTGGGCGTGAATATAGGAGAAGCAGGAGACAAGCTCCCTGTCCTTGAAAAGATGTCTGCAAGCTAATTGGCAATTCCTCAAAAGTCCACAGGATACTAAATGATGTTACGTAAAGAAAATAGCTTTCTTTCTTTCTTTTTTTTTTTTTTAAGGAACACATGTGCCAAAGGTTTTGGGGGTGGGAGGGGTGGAGTGGCTGGGTGATAAGAAAATGGCTTTCAAGTGACTGTAGTAAAAAGAAATCAGGGGCGCCTGGGTGGCTCAGTTGGTTAAGCAACTGCCTTCAGCTCCGGTCACGGTCCCAGGGTCCTGGGATCGAGCCCCGCATCGGGCTCCCTGCTCGGCGGGAAGCCTGCTTCTCCCTCTCCCACTCCCCCCGCTTGTGTTCCCTCTCTCTCTGTCTCTCTCTGTCAATTAAATAAATAAAATCTTTAAAAAAAAATCAAATTTGATTTTTCTTTTAGGTTCTTAAGATGAACAGGAACTGTATTGTTTATAAGGTAAACTTTAATTCAATGTAAGCCAACTTCACAGGCATCTAAAGAAATATGCCCATTTCAGAAGTTAAGCAGACTGGCATGGTCAGAGATGGTTCAGGTGTTCCGTGTTGTCTGTTGAACTGAGTAGAAACAAGGAAATCAGTAGTCTGGAGATTCTGTGAGGGTTCTATTCAAACATGCGGTGTCCACACATTTGCTTTCCTTTCTAGCTTGAAAAAAAAATGTTGCCTTAAATGATGGGCAATTTTTCCGTATATAATTTTCCGCCTTCTTCTCGGCAGACCTCTCAGTCATGACTTAAGACAGGTCCGCTTATTTTTACAAAACTGTGCTGTATTAGATTAAGGTCTGTGGCTACCCCCTCCTGTGATGAAACATGGTTATCCTGAGTGGGTGATTTCAGTTAAGTATGAACATGGAACACTGGGAAGGAATTGTGGTGAAGCCATCTGTTAAGAAATTTCCTCTTTCATTGAAAAAATCATAAATTACCTTTTTAAAATAAAAGTTCAGAGAAGCTGGGTTTAACATTTGCCATTCATATAAAGGCCTAAATGATCCCAGGGTCCTG